TGTGGCTAGGTGACCAGGGTCAACCCCAGCCCAGACACACTGGCCCAGGCATGACTTTGTCCTCATGGTCTGGTTGGGTGACTGGGCAGCCATGCTCAGGGGTGTTTAAGGCGGAGAGGGAGGGGATGTTGGAACGTGGAGTGGACAGTGCCCTCCTGATGTCCTTCTTGGACCTCGTTCCCCTCAGGACGCTGTTGCCGTCTGGAACGGGAAGCAGGTGATGGTCTTTGAGCCTTTGGGAGCCACGCTGCGAAACGCGGGTAAGAGTCTCTGCAGGTGGGGGACATGGCACCCCCACTGCCTGTCCTCACTTCACCCCTAAAGTTCTCTTCTGACGTTCACCCCAGTCCGTCATTCGTTCTCTGACTAAGGTCCCTTTCCATCCCTCTCCTTGGCCGTGGGAGACGCCCTCAGGGCTGGGGCTCTGAGTTTGGAGGTGCCGTTACAGTACAGAGGAGACCCCAGGGATGAGTTGGAAGGGCAGGGAGCCCCAGCCAGTGTCCCCAGGCCAAGCCCAGGGCTGTGCGAGCACACTGCCCGTGGTCCCCGCATCTCAGGTCTCCCGTCTCCCACCTGCACGATGCTGCTGACCCCGCCGTCACAGAGCTGCCACCGTCACCACGTCCACCTTGCATTCCAGGCACCTTCCTGTGCGAGTCCCCAGTGTTGGCCATGCACGAGGAGAGCCTCTACACTGTGGAGCCAAACCGGGTCCAAGTGCGCACCTGGCAGGTGAGGCGTGGTTGAGAGTAGGGGCCCGTGACGGCCGAGCTGGACCCCACCCACAGGTGCAGGGCTGCGAGGGCCAGGGCTGTGTCTGACGGTATCCCCCAGAACTGCCCTCAGATGCCCACTGTCTTGGTGTCAGCTTTGTGCTACGACTTCTCAGCCCCAGAACGGGCCACTTTTGTGTGGCCCACATCCCACTCCCTGGAAACCCCACTTCTCAACCGCACGTGGTCAGCAGGTATCCACAGGACAGCAGCTCCCAGGACTCAACCCCACCTGGGGTGGGTGTGACCTCCACAGTGGCCGAGGCCTGGGTGTTGTCAGACAAGGCCCGGGCAGGGACACGTTGCCCTCACTGGCCCTGTGCGCTCCGGGATACGGGGAGCTGCTCATTGGGACTGACGTGTGTCCTGGGGCCCAGCGGCCAGTGGGGGGCCGTGCCTAGGCCGTCCGTGGCCTGGGGCCCGGTCATGAGGGGGTCTGTCAGAGCAGGACCCGTGCCTGGGCTGTCTGTGGCCTGGGGCCCGGTGACGAGGGGGGCTGTCCATGGCCTGGGGCCCGTTGACAAGTGGGGCTGTCAGAGCAGGACCCGTGCCTGGGCTGTCTGTGACCTGGGGCCAATGACGAGGGGGGCTGTCCATGGCCTGGGGCCCGGTCACAAGTGGGGCTGTCAGAGGAGGACCCATGCCTGGGCTGTCCACCCCACGGGGCCCGGTGACGAGGGGGGCTGTCAGAGGAGGACCCGTGCCTGGGCTGTGTGTGGCCTGGGGCCCGGTGACGAGGGGGGCTGTCCACGGCCTGGGGCCCAATGACGAGGGGGGCTGTCCATGGCCTGGTGCCCGGTGACGAGTGGGGCTGTCAGAGCAGGACCCGTGCCTGGGCTGTCTGTGGCCTGGGGCCCAGTGACAAGTGGACCTGTCAGAGGAGGACCCATACCTGGGCTGTCTGTGACCTGGGGCCAATGACGAGGGGGGCTGTCCGTGGCCCGGGGCCCTATGACAAGTGGGGCTGTCAGAGGAGGACCCATGCCTGGGCTGTCCACCCCATGGGGCCCGGTGATGAGTGGACCTGTCAGAGGAGGACCCGTGCCTGGGCTGTCCATGGCCTGGGGCCCGGTGACGAGTGGACCTGTCAGAGCAGGGCCCGTGCCTGGGCTGTCCGTGGCCTGGGGCCCGGTGACGAGTGGACCTGTCAGA